AATGTTTTTCTGCCTCTTGATGAGGATGAATCTGGGGCTAAGCTCCCTTTGATCAGGAGATGAAGCAGGCGTTCTCTTGATCTTCCAAGTTGCTTAAATACTTTCCACGATGGGAGGCTGACCTTGAACGTAAAGTTACATTACAGACGTACAGATTTCCAATCCAAAACTATCCAAAGGAAAACTTTATCACCTCTGAATGTCAAGTATGATTTCAAGAGGTAGTCAGAGGAGGATGGGCTCTAAAAAAAGCTGTGCTAAGGCTAATCTTGGCATCTTTATCCCCCATAGAGGAAATTCACAGTCTGATTTGGTTATCAAAATGACTCATACTCCACAGTTGCACCAGCCTGCTCCAATATTTGTTGTGGATGCAGTGCAAACGGTACAAAAATAATACAATCTCCCACAGAGACGAGTATTAGAAATACACAAAACAAAAAATAAAACACAGGATGATACACGTGCTCCTGCTGCAAGGTAGTGAGGAATGTGATGAAACATCAGAAACAAACTCCAAGAAGAATCAGCCACTGAAAGAGTGTGTGCTGTTGTTTGTGTGTGTACTCAAAGGAAGGGGATTAAAAATGGATGTGCTTTAACATGGCAAGAGTGCTGTGCTATTTTGTCACCCTGAGCGCCGTAACACAAGCCCTGCTGCAAAGCCAGCAGCCGGGGTGGTGGGGGTGGTGGTGGTGGGGGGGCTTGTGGGGATAATTCATCTCAGGTAACCTTAATGGACGAGAGGAAGGTGGTGTTTTCTGCCCATGAGTGGGTCGCTGCAGGTTCTGACGGCGGCAGCGACACGCCACAACAATAGCAACAGCACAGGGCTCATAACGGCTTCTCAAGGACCGCGGCCGGTGGAGAGTGCGCTGGGTATCGATCTGTATCAGACCAGGGTCTCACAGCAGCTGCTACACAATTCTTCAAGTACAAGATGGCTGCAGGTTACAACATGAGGAAATCGCCAGTACAGTCGGTAGGATAGGAGGTGAAACTGTAAATGAAAAACCACTGAGATTATAATAACTGTTGTGCTAGATATTATTCCTTCTCTTTGTACTAATAAAAGCACAACACCCACCTGATTTATCTAACTCACACTTCTTACACCTCATATTAACTTCACATAAACTTTGGAATTAATTTTGTAGACAGATGTGTGGATTTGGTCCCTCACAGGAAGGCGTCTTTTAAAAGCCAGTATGAAGAGGAGGAATGATTACAACAACAAAAACCTGTTTTAATCATTTATGTGGGAACCTGACTTTTGTTCTAAAACTTAAAAACATAGTGAACCAAAGCTACAGGAGGGAATAACATAAAACATTTATATTATTCCCATTAAATGGAGTGTGGATCTAGTTGTATTGGAATAAATTAAACAATCTCAACAGATTTTACAACATGACTTCCTACGTGACAGGCGCATCTATCTGTAGTCGAGTTTTATTAGTTATTATTTTTTCTACATCTGTATTTGTTCATTTAGTCTTAGTTAGACCAAAGAGGGATAATAGCAGGAATTCAGATTGTGAAAAACACACTTATCTGCTTTGTTTGTGCATCTGTAAGAGATCGTTTACAGCTAGTCATTATCCTAACCATCAACCACGGCCACACTGTGACTTTATAATGAGAAAATGGAGACCTATAAAAATGTGTTAATGTTAAAAAAATTAATTTAACAAATTGAAGTTTCTTATTAGCATTAAAAGGTCTAATTTCCCCCTGGTGGTGCAAGGTCCAGGTCAATCACTATGATAAGTTTGCTTCCAAAATAAAACACAACTTCCTGGATTCTTCACTTTCACCTTACCAAGATTAAACAGCAGGAAAACTTAACTCTTTAGCTAGAAATAGTCCCATGGTGCATTTGGGTTTGAGACAGGACAACAGACTGACAAGCTTTTTAAATAAGCTGTAATGGAATTACCCCCTGCAGTGACACCCTACAGCCCTGTGGTCCTTCCCCTGCCAGCTGAGGAGCGGCTTCAAGGAGAATCACAGAGTAACGTTTCAGCCTGATTTTCCCTATTCCTTTAGAATCCAAGTGTATTTGGTTTGGATTTCTCTGAATGAGCAGAGACGCCCCCGCTGCACTCTTACACTGCAGCAATTTGACTGTGTATTTTAACGCACTATCAGACCACAGCGTGAACTTTGACAAATGGTACTTGCCTAAAACGCTTGAGCCTGATAAGAACTTTAACCTTTCCATCCTCCCTCTGCCACCCATTCAACTGCCCCCTCCCCCACCTCCCCCCAAGGCTTCGCCAACAGCAGCTTTGCCCTTCAGGAGAGCTGAAGAAGAAGGAAGTAGGACAGGAGGAGGAGCAGTGTGTGTCTGCCAGCGGGATGAGAGGAGAGCGCAGGGAGGCATGCACTGACAGTTGCTGCATGTGGCGAGGAGGGACAGCGAGGAGAACCACTGAGATGCTGCAGAGTGGGTGGGGGGGTGGGGGGGGGTATCACTGCTCATCTTGGAACAATGTGAATGTAGAGGAGGCAGGAGACAGATGCTTTGTGGAGAGAGACAGACGGCAGAGGAAGATAGAGCGAGAGTGACTGACATTTCTCTCACACCTCTATGAGCAGCCACATCCTAATACAAACTAATCCCTGTATCAGCCTCTTACCTCACCTGGGCCTATCTCGCCAACAGCAGCACAGAGACAAAATGGAAGACTGCTTTCCCAAGATACACCCAGTATTTGAGTTTGGCCAGACAGACAGGCGGTGTGGTGCTCGAGTCCCCGTGCTGCTGAGTCTTTGGTCAGCACCGTCACTGTCCCGTCACTCACACGGCTCCTGCTGACGTTTTGCTTTTTGACCGAGCAGCTTGTCACAAACTGAGCTCTGATTACTGATTCACGGGGAGTTCATGAGAGCCGAGCCAAGCAACTCATTTGCTACGTCGGCGCCGACTGCAGCGGGCATTTCAATGAACATTTGAATTCTGTCACACAGCTGTCTATCATAGAGAAGTCTGAAGGAGCATAATGGTCAGATAGTGGTGAGTTTGTGTCATAAATTTGAGCCACTAACAATTATTTCCATTACCGATTATTTTCTCGGTTAATCAATTAATCATTCAGTTTATAAATGGTCAGAAAATAGTGAGATGTCCATCGCAATTCCTCCAAACTCAAGGTGAGGTCTAGTTTTTTCTGACAGACTCCAAAATCCAAACATATTTTATTGACAGTGATATGAGACAGAGAAAAGCTGAAAATCGTCACATTTGAGAAGCTGGAAACATGAAATATTTGCTCTGCTTTGTGCTTTGAAAACTGCCTGAAACTATCTAAACTAAATTATCAAAATAGTGGCCGATTCCTGCCCTGTCAAATAATGGACTAATCCAATAATCATTTCAGCGTAGTGTCAGTGCATTCGGAGACAGATCAGCAGGACGAGCACTACAAATATCACTTTACTTTCCCTATTGTTATTTTGTTGTATTGCTGTGTATAATTAAATACAATAGATTTTTTGTGTCATTATTTCTGTAAGATTCAAATACAATATTACATCTTGCTTATACACTTGTTTTGATAGTTGTTACTATACTATACTATAGATTGGGATTTTACACGACCTGGAAACACTGCAAAAGCCAAGAGAGCAGAACTCACTCTGAATCTTTAAAATGTGCTCTACATGATTTCATCTTTACCAATCTAAGGCTGCAACTAACACTTATCTTAATTATCAATATTTTATAATCTGCCTATTATTTTATCGATTAATCATTTAGTTTATAAAATGTCTTCAAATGATCAAAACAAACAAACAACAAAACATCAAATCTTCACATTTGAGAAGCAATTTTTTTTGTTGTTGTTACATTTTTTTGTTTTAGAAAATGATTTAGATCATAATCCGATTATCAAATTAGCAACTGATTAATTTTCTGTCCAATTTATTATTCGACTAGTCGTTACAGCTCTACATTAATCCCTTAAAAATCTGCTCTTTCAAATTATACACAAGCTGGCACAGTCTAACATTTCAACCTCAGTGCACAGTTTTCGTGCATCAGGAAACATTTGTGAACAGTTTGGAGCCCAGCAGCACTGGATGAGAGGATTCACACAATGCTAATAAAGTGATACCAAGTGAAGCCTGTCAGCTGCCTCGGTTATGAACAGAGGATCAACTTCCTCAGATAAAGTGTCTGGAGACAATAAATAAAAATAAAAAAAGTATAAAGTAATTTTAAAAGATTTACTTTTCATGCGATTTAAAGTGCAGAACCGGCTCCAGCAGCTTATACAAAACAGCACAGCACCACACAACTCTTCGATCTTTGCTATTTACAAAATACTATCAATAACTTATAAAGCGTCAGCACAAAGGAACGAACTATCCGGCTCTAAACAAAGGTGCATTTAAATCTCGCTTCTTTTAGCAGGTCCCCTCTCGTGTAATTCACAGCCGCACACATTAGACAAAGCCCGGTGTACATTATTATATCCACTGCCCTGTATGTCAGCCTCTAAACGCTGGGTAATTCCGCGGATGACCGCGGTGTGTAAACTGGGTGGGGGCGGGTTAATCACACGATACGCCCTTCAGTTCACAACCCCCCCCGGCAACAACATCCACACAGAGAGGGTGGTATTAAATGCCCCACGGTGCAGCGAAAGGGGCAAATGAATAAACGGCAGCTGCTGGCCGCGGCGCAGCGACGGATACCGACGAGTTATAAAACACCACCATCTGCAAAGCGGAGAGGAGGCTGCCCAGCGAAAACACGGTCCCCGATCAGCTCTGTTACTGAAGTGTCCCCCTCTCTCTCCCCAACAAGCGAACAACGGGACGAATATAAGGTACAAACAGAGGAGGAAGCTCACGTAAACACCGACTTAATACGATCATACAATATTTATGAACCAGGAAGGGAAGTGGAGCTTGCTCCTCTCCACTGATACCCGTTATTATCCCTGCTTCCACCAACTTGATCCTATTTGAGCTTCTTCGTAAACTCTTACCTTTTTCTGCAGTCTTCTGCCTCGGTGGTGTGGGCGTTTTCTGGCGGGTATCGGTGGGTATTTTTCAGTATTTTTCAGTATCTGGGACTCGTGTCGGTGCTGGTGCTGATGTTGAGCTGCGTCTTCAGTGGCTCCTCTTCAGTGTTAGCTAGCCCGCTGCCTCTGCTCGGCTTGTGGTGCTGAAGTGGACAGCGCACCGAGGAGCTCTGGGAACAAACAAAAAACCCCACATAGCGCCTCTGCGGCGCCGCCTGCGGCACAGCGCCCTCCGCCGGACCGGAGGAGCGTCTGCTGCACAGAGCGGCAGTGGAGTCAAGAGCACAGGGAGAGCGCCACCTAGCGTCCTGTTCCCGCGGTGTTTTCTGTGTGGAGTACTGTGACCTCAACATGAGCCCCTGCCTGTATGACACAGTGGGTCAGTTCACTTTCCCACTTGGAATTCACATCCCTAAAAATGCTGCTTTCACGGAGGCTATTTTGTCATGTCGCAGAGGGAAAAGCACTAGTGCAAATAGTTTCACTAATGATTCATTCAATTCAGCTGCTTCAGTTTCAGGATCCAGGTGTGTTGTCACATTGTTATGGTTAGTGGGACACTATAATAGAAATGATGACGTGTCAATGCTATTAGTGCAATATCTATACTTTTCCCACTTGTCAAAATATCTGCTGTATATCAGTGCACTGGGGAGTAGTGTTCTTTAAACTGCATGCTGTGTTTTCATGGAGGCTTGTATGTCGCTGGTTTGTAAATGTTCATATACTTCAGGGTTTAGTGAACTTCAGTTTCACAAAGATATTTCTGACTGGTCTGTAGTGTTAGGCCAGTCTTCATTTTGCCCATAGATCAGCCTAATGCAAATCAGACTGTTTCGCAGAAATAAAGACTTACTAATTATTAGACACCTTACCGCCAGGCTAACTCAGGCGTAAGACCAATGTTACCATGGAAATCACAGTGACACCTGCACTGACCAGCAGCACCCAACAAAAAACAGGAAAACATGGCTCATAATTTGTGGTTTGCTAACATTGTTATGGGGAGAGCAATAAGAAGGGAGAGAGTTTTTAGAAACTGCAGCAATTTTTTTTTTTTTCCAAATCAGATTTTTCTTTTACTTGTTTCACTCTTTGCTGAATTTCCCAAGTAAAATGTCCTTGTAACCGCTGAACTCTTCCAAAAGACAAACATGTTCTGCTGGGGTAAATGGAGCTGAGCGGTTGGATGCTCTTATTCAATCAGCCATCTTTTTTTAAATTGAAAAAAGTCTACCGAGCTGGAATTTACCCAGAATTCATTGTACCACAGTCTGGCTTAAGATAGTCAAGAACTGAACTGCTTTGTGCAACAGATAAATTTAGACATCTATCTGAAGATCTGACTGTTTGTTTTATCTGATCCACAGTCAAAGTCTGTCTTTGTGAAACCGGCCCCGGGTTCTAAGGAACAAAATAACACATGTCTTGTTACGGTTTAGTACAAAATTGCACATCTGATAACTGACAGACTGAAATCTCCAGTCAAAGCAGCCATCCTTATTTTCACATGATAAGAGGGTGGTATCATAATATAATGAGCCCTGGCGGTGCAGACTCCACTATGAGAACCACTGAACTTAATATTCTCAAATAATACAATTAATTTTTACTTTTTTTCCCCCCTAATACTTGCACTAGTGAGTGGTACCCAATAAAGCTGAAGATTAATGTGACTTGTAGTTGGAGGGTATGTTACACTGAGCAAAGGTCAATAATTGAGGGCAACAATACACAGAAAAGATAACCTGAGATGTCAAAGTAATTGAGAATAAATGCAGCTGTTAACTGATGTCACCAAATTATTTCAACAGAAAATGAAGCCATTCATCACAGTCACAGTAACTGACGTTTCCTTACACTCATCTCAACTTCTGCTCTTCCAAAGAAAATTATTTTGATGCTGAGAAATAATCACAAGTGCATATTACAGCCTATGATTTTTGGGTGTAGAGGAATACATTCTTTTTGCAGCTGGTGAGTTTTATTGGAATATGATTATTAACAGTCTCCAGGCTTAGTGTTGAGTCTTTTTTAATTACACCAGACTCCCCTCTGACCCGTGGTCTCCTGTGCATTGTGTTGGGCTCCAGTTAAGTTCCACTCAGTCTGTCTCTCTGGGTCACATGGGGTGTATATTGTCCCGAGCAGCGGGCTGTAAGGAGTTGTCCATGGCAGCAACCGGGTCGCCCTGGGTGACGGCGAGAGTGGCCTGCTCTGGCAGTAGGCTGGGGTCTGTCAGGATGGCTGTGGTGGTACTCAGGAGACGGAGTGAACGCAGAACCACTGAGGGGACACGCAAAGAAATGATAAACACAAATTACAGATAATAACACATGGTTTAACGTCTGCATAGTTGTAACCGGTTCTACTGGACTCACTGGGTCTGAGGGCAGGCAGGGAGCAGTGCTGGTCCATCCAGGACAGAGTGGATCGACACAGGTCCTCCACACTGGCAGTGGACACCATCCCGTTATAGGACTCAAACAGCGGCTCGATGATGATACTGAACTGACGCTGTGTTGAGGAAAGACGTCTGGCTCGTCAAAAATACGACACGTGAGCTCATGAATTTTCATCAGCAAAGTGTTTTATAGTGTTTAAAAGATAACGCTGGTGTTATTCTACAGCTTATATCCCAAAAAAAGAACAAAGCCAACAATGTGTGAGTGTATCTCTCAATCATCTCTGACTTCTCTACCCTGTCTGTGGCACTCAGCCAGAACCCATTGGCTCCTACTGCAGACATGAATCTTTAAAAAGTTTCATTAAAAAAGGCTTAGCAATTTCATATTGCAGTTTTTAACGAATGTGACTCAAACAGGGCGACATAGTGAATTTGTTCGGGACTATTTTCAGCTGCAAATTGACACTCATTTGGCTAATGAATATTTACAGCAGCAGAACGGTAGATGTGATGGACTCAAAATAAACTACAGTGCCCATGTTCGTGTTAATAAAAGAACATATCGAGTGCAAAGATGTAGCTTATTAATGTCTGTTTAAAAATGTTCACACTGGAGCTCTATGGCACATGGGAATATGATGGATCAGGCTTTGGATACACACAGTATCTGCTACTGGAAACAATACATTGTCAGTTTTTGTGTTATTTGTTGACAGTAAGAACAATAAGAAGTAGCATTAAACTAGTGGTCAACAAAAAAATTAAATTAGTGGACAAATATCTGGTGAACGTTTCTATCTTGAATCTAAGAGAAAATAACCCTCATGGGAAACCTGTGTTTTTAATTTAGAATACTATCAGACCAGATAAAGACAAAAGTGCAATCTCTAGAGGAACCAAAGAAAATACCTCAATATTCATGGAGATGAAACACCCACACCCCGTTGTGTTTTTGCGCACACACAAATATGATAAAATTGTTAATCTTCTTATCTCGCCTGCAAGATAAGGCCAGCGGATTAGGTGATTATTAATGAAAGAGTTATGTATTAAATTTACATACAACACTTTTTATGCAACACACAGACATTTGTTTTCTCTGTCTGATTACACTGACAGGTCCGAGATTCATTATGTGCTTTTTCTGATTTGAAACTCCAGTGTTAAACTTAAATCAGTACAAAACCCCCGTTTGGAAATTTACCATATGCACTGGACCAAAGACTAAATTTCAGAGGATGTTTTTCCTGCCACACTTTAAAAACACTATCCTTATCAGTATCTATCCAGATTGGCATAATGCTTGGCGTAATAAGCTCATTTGGATTGAAAGAAAAAAGGTTTTGGAAACAAAACATAATTTGAAATTCCTCCAAAGGCTGAAGAAGCCAAATGACGCTGCAGCCAAATACTGTACTGAAACATGAGAAGCTCCCACAGGAATAGATGGGTACATTTAATACACAACATTTAATTATACTCTGGTAATTTTTAATGCAAAGTTAAGTAAGTTTTTAAAGTCATGTCTGTGGCAGTGTGATGTTTTAATTAACCTCTGGCAGATTTACATTCATAAGGATACGATCCAGAACTTCCAGTTCTGCAGAGTCTGTGCCTGGACGTACTCTCTGAACTTCTGCCTCATGTGGTCAAAGCGCTGCCGTGTGATGGGCACGCCGGTGGCTGGTAGCTGCTGCTGGCACGCACTGCATGGACAGACACAATGAGTCAACAGTGCCCACACCACAACTGACAGCATGCGTGTCATAATAAAGTAGCAGAGGTGGACAGTAACAAAGTACATTTACTTGAGTACTTTTAGAGTATCTGTACTTTAGTTAAGTTTTTTTTTTCTTTGGAAACTTCTGACTTTTACTTCACTACACTTAAAGACAAATATTGTACTTTTGACTCAACTACATTTCTATGAAGTACTCTTACTTTGAAGCAGAGCTTTTAGTCAGCTAAATTTATTTTATTTTATTTTGAAAATGTGATAGACCATTTATCTCTCTCTCTCTCTCTCTATCTATCTATCCTTTAGTTTTGAATGTTTGCTGTTTGTCACGACCAAACTTCATCACATTGACAGAAAATAGAAGACATCTCTTGAAGCTCATTATCAGTTTCTTCACCAGTAGTAGGGATTTAATTTGCAATGCAATCACCTGATCACCAGTTTACAATGCATGATAAAATGCTTATAAACAGCTGCGTGTCACATTTAACAAATACGGCTCTAACTGTAGGTTAACTGTGAGTCAATGCACAGAGCAGATGTGAACATGTGTTAGTCCTCCACTGATGATAAAGCACTTCTCTGCACCGAAAACAAAGTGTTCTTCATCAATGCAGGATATCCAACCAGTCCTGGTGGAAATGCAGACACACACACACACACACACACACACACACACACACACACACACACACACACACACACTCACTTGATGGCAGAGTTGAGGACCTGGATTTCCTCTCGGAGTCTCTGAGCCTCCTCGTGCAGCTGAGCTCTCTCCTGCTGCATCTTACTGATGTACTCAGCCGTCTTCTGCAGCGTGGTGGCTTTGCTGATCTGTGCCAGCAGACAGAGGGGATCACCACGTCAGCCACACACCACAATTATTATAGATATTCCTAATAATAATAATAATATGATGTGTCTTTCTCTGCATTTACATGTC